CATAGGGGCGGCGGCTCGGATCTCTTGAGAACGTCTGCAACATCTAAACTTCGCTACGACTTCACCATCCAATTCGGGCCACGATGCATAAAAGCTGGCTAGCGACTTCATTTTGGCAACTTCTGAGTGCGCATCGAGGATACGTAACCGAATTCCTTTTTGGGGACTATAACTCGTGCGCCGCACAATAAACATCCGTTCTAGAAGCTTAGCTCAGACATCCTATTACGGAAAGGCCGGTTGCCGAGTGGTCTGCGCGCCTGGTTTGCAACCATAAGGTCACCGGTTTGAATCCGCGTAGGGATGACGTTCTCGCGGTATACTCAGCCCACGCGCGATTGGTCGTGGTCGCATCGCAGCGAAGCGCCGTTACGGCGTACAGTTGGCGGTTTTTTCAAAGCGATGTGTTGTTTGAATGTGTTATTTGCCACTCGACTGGAGCGTATCTTTTCACCAGTGATAAAACAGGGTCTCTATCAGTTTCTCAATGTATGTCCGTTGACTTGACCATGGGATCATCGAAATGGTGAACTAGGTTTACGAGCACTTGTGGAGTAAACACCTCTGAAGGCACTCCTGGCAAAGGATGTCGACTAATGAAATCAACTGTGGTATTCTGCCGGCCAGGAACGTGCTGCATTTCGTACGTGTATGCAGATAGCATGAGGGTCCAACGGAACATTCGGGGTGGAGCCATTTGTTGAATCCCCTTCTCGTGGCTAAGAAAGGAAACAAGTGGTTTGTGATCCGTATGGATCACGGAAGGGCGACCAAGTAAATATTGGTGAAATCGGGTAGTACCGAAGATAACAGGTGCTGCCTCTCGATCACTTTGCTAGTAGTTCTGTTCTGATGCTGTCAGGGTTCATGATGCACAAGCAATAGGTCGCTGGTAGCTCTCCGGTAATTCATGCAGTAAAACAGCTCTAAGACCGTAAAGTAAAGCATCCAACGAGAGAATAACAGACTTCTATGGATTATAATGCACAAGAACATCTGCGCATGCCAAAAGCTTCTTGAGCACTTTGAAAGCATTCTCGTAAATCATGACCGAATTCCAAGTTTGGTGTTATGTAAGAGTTGGTAAAGCGGAAGCAGATGAGTTGCTACCGATGGTATGAACCTGGAAAACTGGGTGACCACACCCAAGGATGACCGCAGTTCATGGACAGTTTTGGGTACTGGCGCTTCAAGTAGCGTTCTTGTCTTTTCTTTTAACGGGCATATTCTTTCTTGTGATAACTGGTATCCAAGTTAAGGTACACCTGGCACAATGGTTATAAAAATTTCCTTTTTTCAAACCAACCCGGCGACTGATAATTGTTTTAAGACGACATCTAAGGTATATAAGCGTTCGGTGACGGTTCGTCCAGTAACCAAGATGTCATGCAATTACGCAGGTGTGCTTGGTATGTGCTTCACCAGTGTGTCACGAATACGCTGAAAGGTAGTCGGGGCCGAGCTTATCCCAAACGGCAAGTGTGTGCAACGGAATAATCCAAGGTGAGTGCTATTGGTGGTGTATGCACGTGATTCCCCATCACGTTCGATTAGTTGCTCAGATCTAGTTTGATAAAAATCTCGCCACAAGAGAAACACAAATGTCCTCAATCTTTGGCAGCGCATATCTGCCTAGCTGTAATGCCTGGCTGATCGTAGTACCCACAGACTCTTATGCACCACCGCTCCTCAACACTGGCAATATATGGGCTGTCTAGTCCGGATATTGAACCGGTTCGTCTGTAGCCTCAAGCCGGTCAGCGCAGCTCACTTCCGACTTCATTAGAAAGAGCAAAAGAAACAGCTCGAAATTTCTAAAACCTCGGTATCGCCTGTGGTTTCCACACTAAATGAGTGTTGTAATTCTTCAAGAGGCCTTGCCTAGACTCATCGAACAAAACCGCATGTCTCCGCAGAATATCAGATAAGTTTGGATGAGTTGCCACTAAGTTGATGTTCGACGTGATGATTTGAAGACGTTTACTTCCGTCGTGACCGAGTATGTTTGGGCGCGACCCGCCAGAAACGTACGCACACATATGATTCGTTGAATTACAGTAAGAGGTGCGTACAACAAATGTACCCAGCGTATTCATCATCTGTTCTGTGTAAGATCACAACTGTGTATTTCGTGGATCTAACTTTTGGAACTGTGATGAAGCATCCGGTCGTGTCGGGGTAACTGGGGAATCAGTAGCAAGTTCAAAATCCACAAATTGTCTGTTTATATTGACAGACAGGACAGATGCCTCTTCTGCAGTGACCTTGTGTGTAAGGACAGTTGTGGTATTGATCCAGCCCTGGTGTAAGTACACAGTGATGTAATTTGTAACTTTATGTTGTTTAGGTACAAATAATTTCATTCTACCATACATAAATGGTGTCTCTGAGGTGGCGGCGAGACTGCTTCTACCTTTCGGAATCAGAGTTGCTCACACGCCGACAGAAACCATCCGAGATCAGCTCTTCAATGATAAGGACCGGCTTGGCAAAGAAGAAACAAGTGGTGTGATTTACAAAACCCCCTGCAAAACTTGCAACAAATACTATGTGGGTCAGACAGGAAGAAAGCTCGGCACTAGACTACATGAGCATAGCCTAGCCATCAGCCGACATGACCAGAACTCCCTAATGTCGGTACATATGGACGAAGAGAATCATCAGTTTGATTTGGAGAATGTCAGGATCATATGCAGGGCAAAAACTCGAAAAGCATGCGAGTTCATCGAGGCTTGGTACTCGGGAAAGAACTCAATCAACCGACACTTAGATCTTGATACTGCCTATAAAGCAGAGGGTTAAAACTATACTCCGCCCTAGATCAAAGAGACAAAGGAACATCATTGAGGCAGACTCTAGCTAATAGTGCGCAAGAATTGACTACACGGTCAGCTCACGTGGACCAATAGACTCCTGACGTTCGAATCTAGTGATCAATAATCACTTGGATCTGCAAGTGGCTCGCATTAATCGCACTGATGATGTCGTCTAGCCTGACGATGAAACGTCTGCAACCAAATCAACCAGCTTAGAGAACACCCGCATATCCTCACAAATAATTTCTGTTTAGAAAGACATGCTTTCTAAACATGAACTATTTTACTACAAAAGCTGCACACTAAATGTAGGTGCTGACGGTCAGTTGGGGAGGAGTGACATTAACCGCAGCGACAACAACAAAATTGTCTGCTCTGCACAGGGTGAGGTGAGATTTTGGAGACATTGTTTACATCCTGTGAGACCGACTGACTGGAAAACGAAAATGCAGTCAGTTCCTGAACGAGGTTTACATGCTGTCGGACTATTTCACAGACGTTTTCCAAGGTCAGGAGCTCTTCATCATGTCTGTAATATCATCGCTTCTTCTAACTGGTTCCGTAGAATCTGCTCATAGGCACAATCGGAAAGTGCAGTAAGAAGTCAAGAGATAAACTCATTTAAACTCTCATGCGATTGCCGTCGCATGATGTAGTGTGCTGTGAACACCTGTGGCTTTTCCTCCCAAGTTGGTCAAGAGAATAGTATACAGACCGTAGCTCTTTTTGTATATAACTAAAAGTTATTGCAGTAATTTGATTTTCGCCGCAGCATCGTGTTGTTGCTGCCAAGAAGCAAAAGTAGATTAATGTAAGTAATGAAGTAGTTTACCACTGGGCCCATTGCTGTGTAGTAGGTATTTCAGCAGAAGAATTCCAGAACGGTAGAGGTGCAGTAATCGAACTTGCCATAAGTTGTCCACATAATCTTCAACGCTAATTTGTTGCGCTTAAGCGAAATCAGAAAAGCGGTTTGGTAACACGCGTAAAAAAGCAGTACACTCCACTCAGTATGTGTGAGCAAGTAAAAGCTGTCTGAGAGTCCCATGTACGTGTGGACAATTTCGAAGCGATTCCGTAGTGGACACAAAATGGTTGATACACAAACATGCACGAATTCAAGTGCATGCGCTCACACGCGGCATCAGTAGCCCTTCCGTGTCTGGATATCGGTGGATGGACTTGGCATGAACAATGACTGTAGCAGTATTGAGCTGCAAATAGGAGGCTTCGCAGAGGTTGATATAGTGCTATAATAACGAAGTAAACAGGTGCCTCTGATCGATAATTCTGACAATCCGTGAACTAGACATGATCGATGGCAATATGAGTTCAGAGCTGTGTGCAGTTCCATGTGTGACACGCGAGACAATGCGAACTTGTGCCGGTCTACAAGCTGTGGATGGTACATACCTGATGAAACCAAAGCCCATTGCGAATGCGATCAGTACCAATCCCAACAGTTTTATTTTGGTGATCAGAATCCGATAAATCACTCACTTGAGCGTCCACGCTCCCAAGCACTCATCACAGTAAGTGCAGTTCTGGCCAAAAAGATGAAGAGTGGGAGGAACGAAGGAGTTCGCCTCAGATGATCGTAAATTGTGTGCCGAAACAAGAAAATGCTTCACTTTTTCACTTGCTGCCCTACAACTCCAATAAAGTTTCGAAGTCGAGTTGCGCATATATGGTTAACGAGGCGAATCTATTCGGGAGGATCGCTATTGGTGCTTATAATTGGAGCAATACGGAGACCACAAATATCTCAGCGGCAGCCGGAGAAGTAACGCTTCCGCCGCATTCCGGAATGTAGTATAACGCTAGTATCCTGAATGTGCAGCTGAGAAGCCCAACACATCAAATGATGAAAAATGGAGTGTTTGCCGCTGATCAGTTTTACAGCCCAAGAGTTGGCCAGGGCTGAAGTTCGAGGGTGAGATTTGGAAACTAGATCTTTACCACGTTGATGAGACAAGAAATTGCGACTGGAGGGTTTTAAGTACACAACCGTTCAGTCAGTATTTTACCGATAGATTGCACATAGGCGAGATTCAAGGGTTACTATAGATAGGAGCGGAACGCAGTTAAAGGAATGGAGCATAACCGAAAAGGACATTAAATCAGTAGCTACTTACAAGTAACTAAAATAAAATTATCAAATTAAATAAGGGAAAAACGGTTTTCCTAAGCTGAACGGTTGGCCCAGCTGATGACGATTGACCAACCGACGTACAGCGGGAGGAAATGATCGATACTGACAGCAACACGATAGGCAACAGTAAAACGATAACTGAAGGAACAAAATATGGCGCCGCGTCCAACATCTGTCAAGCAGAAGTATCCGTTGGAATCACTGTCGTACACTAATACACAGAGAGGAAAAGACAGCTCAAAAATGTAAAATAATTGACTCACTGACGCTGCGGTGATGAAGTCAACATGAGCTAATTGATCATTGTCTTTTTGGAATGAAATCGGACGGCAGGAATAGATTTCTGCAGAAGAGGGCGAAAACAAGGAAGATGACAGGCAAATGGTAGACAAGACCAAAAGATAAAAAGTCACAGTCAGTGTGCAGACTGCCAGCCTGATTGGTACCAGTGAATCCCATACAATAACGAATACGGGTTCATTCCGAGGGAAAATACCGAATGTGAATGAAGAACACCAACGTAACAGGCTATATTCACCTGGGAAAATCACAGGAGTAAGTGATTGACCATGTCCGTACTGACTGGTGAATTCGGTAACTATCAGATCTTAACATTAACGCAAGCTAACGCTGAAAAGGAGATAATAAGTAAACGAATCGTGGGGAGAAATGCGAAAGCTCTGTAACGGTGCGACAGTAACGAAACACAGTAGCGATCAGACGGTTATGTGAGAATAGACTGCGACAGCAGGCGAAAGAGAAGTATGTATCCCGTACAATTAAGTGAGGCAAGTCGCCCTTGTGGCATGCAATGAATGCCAACAGAAGCCGTGCAAAGAGAACCCCCGAATACAGAAAAATTCTTGAGATTCAGTGTCGAGAATGTGTTGACTTTCAGGAAGAAGAGCCAAGATGGATTGATTGTCAGACGTGGCCTCGACATCATGGGAGAGTCGTCGTCAAAGAATTCGGAAGACAACCGGAGTGAATTGTGGGTGGTACAGATGCGGAGTATCGATGTACAACAGCCTGCGGATCGGCAGTAAGCAGTCGCGTCCAAGTCAAATTAACAGTTCGGAAACCGAGGAAGCACAGATGGATGCAAAGTGATGTGGCTCGAAATCGGGAACTTGGTCAACCGCGAATCGGTCGGTTAGATGTAAACCGTAATATAACAACAACAACAACAGCAGCAACAACAACAACAACAAACGTATGGAACATTGCATAAAGTAGAGGAACCTTGATTAAAAAAAGACCTAGGCACGGAAGACAATAGCAAACACATTATTAAAATGGGGATAGATAAATCAACGAACTGAAGTTTAAAAGTGATCGTCAACAGGTCCATATGTTCCTACACAAATGTGCGACTTTATGGGTTATTTTTGACGTCTATCACGCCATCGAGTTGATAGCAAGGGGAACGAAAACGTACTCTTTAGTCTTGTAGGGTCCTGTAGAGCTGTTATGGACATCCGTAACGCCGAAATAGTGAACTCGTCCAGAGCATCAGTATCGACGCTGTTTAGGGCCGTGTCAGTCGACCGTCCCATGACTTCTTGAGCAGGGGATTCCGACTCGTCTGTGACAATGCGGGTGGACGCGGGCAGGAACGAAGGTGGAGTGTATCCAATCAAGCAGGCATCCACGTGTGTCTCCAGAGTGGCGGTTTCGGGATGCAGGACACACTGGGGCACAGAAATACTCAACTGGTCGGCTAATAGCCGAGCGTAACTGAGCACAAACAGCTGATGGCTAGATGCAAATTGGACAAATATGTGCATCAAATAAAGTGTAATAAACCTTGACAAAGCAGTTTAAACAAATGTCCAGCACTAGCCTGTCGCGCTGAAAAACGGCTGCAATTCTCGATTAGAAGCAAGCAAGGGTGGGTGAGACCACCGCATAACAAACTATAAATGGCACATCTGATGAAATAAAAACAAAATTTTAAGGCACAAAGTAAGCCGAGGTGATTAGATCAGGGGGCAGATTGGTAAGGAACCGATGAAAGTCCAGACGTTCTCGATCGGATTATTGGAACACGCTTACTGATGTGGCTCGCTCTGTAGGCAAAGAAATTTGCCACTGGACAGACTTGGGATCCAGGACAATATTCACAACAGACGTTTACTTAGTGGTGGCAACACCACGGACGCTGGAGGTGAGGAACGTTGAAAAGCAAATATAGTCGACCAAACGATGGCTATCCACATACTTAAAGTGAAGCTCACTCAAGCAGCAACTTTAATTATGTTAGAAGGTAGCTTTGTTTAACTGGTATGTTTAGGAAAATCTTTGGTATTTAGCTACCAAATGGAGCGAATACCTACATACGGCGCTACAACGCGGGCCTGAGCCGATAGCATGGACGGGATTGTACTGAGTCAGGTGAGAAGGTGACGAAACTCGGCAGTCATTACTAGACTTATGGCTGAGTACGCGAACATGTGACCGGTTGTGGAACACAGCAACAACGTGGGCAATTGGCGAGATTCGATGCGCATCGACAATGCGGCGGGTTTGTATAAGGACGCTAGCGGATGACCAAATATGAAGTATCGTAGTAAAGCAGCAGTACGCCGGTACGCAATACCGTAGCTTTGCTGCGACGAAACTACCACACTGGTTCGTCTAACGTCTACCCTTTGAGTCAGATCGGCAAATAGGCTGTACTAACTCTGACTCTTCACTGTCTTGGTATCGACGTGTGCTGTCTCCAAAACACGCATGCAAGCTCGTGCATTGATAGTGAATGGATGTATTCAGCATATGGAGAACGCAGTCGTGGACGCTTAGGGTGCTGTCGTACTCGTCGCTGTCGGCATTGCTACTGTTGCTTCAACAACCGCAATAGCAAGTGTTAGATGGATTGCTTTGCAAAAGTTCAGTGGGGATTTATTATTCAGCATCCGGCAGTTTCAGGGAAACATTTTCCAATTTCTCACGACAGCGGTGCGCAGTGTACAACCAAGGACCTGACTAAAATGGTAGATAAGCTAGTACGATAAATACGAGCAAAATCTGTTACGGGCGTCTGTGTTGCAACTTCGGTTACGGTGTCTCTCATACGCATTCTTTACTTTCGAACCTTGACTTCTTACTGTCCTGATTGAGAAATGTGAATTAAGCTGAACATTTAGCGCTTGAGGCACCAGTAGGTGACAGTCGAGGGTACGTGAACATCTTTTTCTAAGAGCCCGCTTGTAGATCGACCTACGGAGTCACTTTCGCTAGTTAAATCGGTAGTCAATCAGCATGCGGGACGACACCGCCCTGCTCATCCCGACTGAACTATGGACGTCGAATAGGCCACGTTGCTCCAAAGCTTGTCGATATCCAAGTTACTCAAGTCAGCTGTTTGCAAACTCCATTTTACGTTGAGTGTAGCTATAGGATCGCCAACCGACGATGATGGCGAAACGTTTAGTAGGGTTGGTGCATGCCGTCTTACAGAATGGTGGCCTTCGGATAGACGCCATTAATTGGTTAGCACCTAGTCCAGCGATTAATCTTAATATTTTGTATGGTTAATTCACTTCGTTGACACTTCGCGTGAGATAATCATTCATAAATCTGTACATCCTCCACATCTTCAGCACTGCGATCACGTGAATTTTTAGATTAGCGCGAGCAATGACAAGTGAATGTATTGCGGTTCGGTCCCTCGAACACAGTTGAGCATATGACCTACGTTGAACGGGAAAGAATGTGACCGATTTCAAGATAAATGGAAAAAGAAACGAAAACGGTAGCGCACTATGGACGCCAATGACCATAGCGGGAGAACAAAAACGCTAAGAATGGAGAACACAGCGCCACCGACACTTGGCGCAAAATAAATGTGTATGAAATAACGACGACCAGAGAAGCTGCAGTGATCAACACCCTCAGACGTCAACTTGCTGGGGTTGGGAATACCGGAAGAGTCAGTGTCTGACAATGGCTCGCAGTTAATCAGTGCTGTATTCCAGGCTTTCACAACCCAGTGGGAATTTGTGCATCGACAAATGATACATACCACAGCTAGTCAGATGGAAAGACCGAATTTGCAGAAAAGCAAGCAAAGCGACTGTTATCAAAGACCATAACAATTCATGAGAGGAATCGCAACACTCCATCATCGGATAACGGTGTGAGCCCAGTATGTTGCTCACACCGGTTACACTTTTGCGACAAGTTTAACTGCACAACGAGAAAAGACAAAATAGTTTGAGAAGACGGATGACCACTGAAAAGCGATACTACGACAGCGCCATCCGAGCACTCCCCGAACTGACATGGAGGAAACATAGGTCCAACCACTAGCCGGTGATGAAGAGCGATGGATAAAGGCTGTGGCAGTCACAAAGGTCGGCGCAAGACTTTATGAAGTAAGTGTTGGGAGGAAGGTAATCATATGAGACCAAACCCAGTTGATAATACACCAGAGACAATAAGGAGGATCTAGGGTGGAACACCGTATAGTGTGTTGTGACGAGAT